TTTTAACAACCAACTGAAACGGCTGTTATATAGATAACCGTTTAAGCCGATAAGCTCATTACTAATATGAGGACTGTTTGAATTATTTGTTAAGCTCAATTAGTATTGTTCATTTTGACTATGTAGCCTATGATATAGTATAATTACTTACGTTGATGACAGATATGCCAAAACTTAGGTTAGCTTAGCAATAATCTACATTGCAACACTATGTATTATGTACTTACCGTTACAATTTTTGTGCAGCCAACTTAACAAGGCTGCTACCTAGCTGAAATGTGAATAGTATGCTTTAAAATTAATCTAGGTAAAAGTCAGGCCATTTAACGGTGCATACAGATTGCATCCTTTACAATCTTGTGTTTACACAAAGCAATAAACGAAAAGCAAAAGAGCGGCAGTAACAACTAATGTTTCATGTTATTTAATTTTATTAATCGTCAGACAAGTTAATAGTTAATAATCGGCCTTGGAAGTCCAGGTCGTTTTGCTACCCAGCACTCCTTTATCGCAGCTCTCGCGCAGAAACCTCAAGCCCGCCTCAATGGAGCGCTCTAGCTCAGCTTGGGATTTAACTCGCTTCGCTGCGGACGGGCCACTGAAACCTTCCACGAGACAATCAGGCGGAGGAATGGTAGCGCCATGATTCCGATCATGACTGGAGCTACTTGCTATTGGCTCTTCAGCATAAAGATCATCATTAGATTTAGTATAGTTCCGCCTCTGGAATTGTTTTTCGCGCTGGGTGGAATGATAGCTTCTAAACTCCTGCTCGCCGCTCCACGTAGATAACGTTGATGGCACGCTGCTGAAGCTCAGGCGTTTTGGAGCTGCCTCCATTTCTGGCATAGGCGCAAATTCTGGAGCACGCACCGCACGTTGTTGCTCGTTCCATTCCTCCTGCGACATGGGCAATCGTTCGGGCTTGTATTGCCATTCTACCGGTGCTGCGGACTGTTCATCGTCATCGTCTGAATTTTTGGCAATGCCGCTCTTGCCCTTGTCCTTGTCCCAGTCGCGAACATGGGCTTTGCGCAGCCTCTCACGTTCAGCTTCATCGGCGGCCTTTTGCTTCTGCAGTTCTGCTTCCTCCGCAGTCTGCTCGCGTTCAACTTCTCGTGCCTCGATTTCGCCTTTAGATGCCTTGAGCTGCAGCTCCTTTTCGTATTCCTCCTGGCTGATGGCCGGCAGACCGTTGCGCGCTCTGATGCGATTCTTCGCAGCCAACACGCGTGCCGCAATGATTCGATTTCGTTCTGCCCGCAAATCGTCGCGTCGCTTCTGCTCTGCTTGCGTTTCTTGGCGGGCTTTTTCCAATTCCCGCTGTTGCTGCATTCGCTCAGCCTCGTCCGTGGAGAAGGCATAGTACCCCACGCCGTGTGTGCGCGCTTCGTCAAAGAACACGTCTTGGTAATGTACATTGGGCTTTTCGATATTTTCTTGCTCTTTGCGCTCCCAGTTGGCGCGCTGCTCATCGTGCTTTGTCATCGTAGACAGCGCATCGCTGTAGACACTCTCTGTGGGCTTTGGGCCAAAGCTGGGCTCATCATCGTTTGCCTCAGGGTCGCTGTCGTGGTTGCATTTCGTGTCGATCAACCAATTGGCTTTCGTTTGATCCAACCGCTCGGGCATGCTGTCCGCCAATTGCTTGTCCCGTCGCAGGGCTTCTTTTAGGTCTTTGCGCAAGCAGGTACGGGTTCTTCCTAGGCAATCCGTGTATTCCACTTCGTCATCATCGTTTCCAGTCTCTGCATTTCCTTCGTCTTCGTCTGTGCTGTTGTTCCTACTTATTCTTCTATGCGGCGATGGGCTTGGGTGTTGTCTTTCGTCACGGTGCTGCTCCTGGCGCTTACGATTAAACATTACCAAACAATTATCATCCGAGTTTAAGCTGCCGCCACTGCGTGTCATCTGTTCGTAATATTTGCTCTTGGCCTCCAGTATACGGCGAGACTTTTCCAACTGTCCAAAGTCCTCCGATTCATACACTTTAAAGTCATCGTTACGGCTAATCTCCACATAGTTTCCATCCTTATTGCTGTTTCTGGGTGACTTCTCACTTTTGCTGTGAATCTTGCTTGGCCGGAATTTATTGTCCACCGTGCTTGATTCCTTGGCCATTTTGACTTCATGCTGCTTGCGCTGTAATTCTGCTTTTAAACTAAGCAGTGATGATAAATTAACGGAGATCGCCTTGTTTGGGTCGTTCATTTTTAAGACACAAATCGTAAATGAAAGGAGAGAGCAAAGTCAGAGTCAGCTGTTCCAAGTGCGAGTGTACGACTACTCGATAATCGAAAATCGATAAGTTGAAGGTGCACACAAGTACTCGATAGCTGTGACTAAGGAAACATCGCTAAATGTGATTTCTGTACACACAGAATATTTACAAAACAAATTGAAATGTCTGGTGGAGATGAAGAATTTCGGACTGTCACCCGTAAGAAATGGATTGCACGTAAATGCCTTAGTCGACGTAATCGCCACAAGTCTGAAAGCGATTACTTAAATGATTGCCCCGAAGTGAATGTGGAAATCTTCCAAGCGTAATTTTATTGATTTATCTTTTGGTTATATTCTGCTATGATCATTTATGATGACTTGCAGACGCCTGGAGCGACTTTGTGGAGAAATGAGTCAGAGTGACTATTTCATCGTGACCATGGAAACGTTGCAACAGCAATTGGACGCGCTGAAAAGGCCATTGGAACGAATTGTTTGCCTCGGCTTGGGACCCTTTACTAGAACCTACCAGGCGCTGCATCAAGCGGCGTTTTTAATAAGCACACAGCAACTTCATAAAATCAAAGAAACACTCTACTATGATCCTGTATTCCGAGAAACTGAAAAGGAGTTAATCCAACGTTTTAATGGCACCATCATCAACGAGGACAGGGCGGGCAGGCATGAAGCCCACGTGCCAACTCTATATTATCTGCCACATTGTCCGTACGCCTTAATGCACAACCTACTCTTATGCAACTGGAACAGCGAGACCCTGCCAAATGTCTTCTTAATCTCGAACAGCTTTGAAATGTTAACGCTCAACAGAACTCTAGCTAGAAGTAATCCCAACGATCATATTGCCCGCATAATAAACTATTGCACGGAGTCTCCCTTAGAAGATGATTACGAGCAGCAGAATGTATTCAACGATCTGTCACTACACTGTTTTCCTAGCGAGAAACTACCAGGAACAGATAATACAACATTCTGGACACGATGCGCGCCCTTAAAGGTGAATGAAGATGAGCTGCAAACTGACCCTAGCATTGAAGACGAATTTTCCGCATTAAGCATAAGATCATAGATGAATTGTGTGTTAAGCCTTATAGAGTAAACGGACATCATAAAAAAGTACAAACTTAACATGCACAAAGCCTGCAAAGAAAAGTCGGGTTTTCTGTAAGGCCATTTATTCTTGAAAGTGCTGTGTGTATATACATATGTATTTTG